CCAGTGCTCCAGTCACAAAAATCAGACCTTCCTCTGAGTATTAATGAGATCATACTCTTTCATGGGATGCCGGTCTCCATCTTGATTACAGCCTCACAACGTATGATGCCCAATTAACTAACGACAGGCAGAGACCAGGTTTCAAACCGTAAAATCTTTTGTCTTTTAATGCTGTGCAGTAAAGTCTGTTCTAATGAAAAATGCGCAGATGTGACCCATCTCTCATTGCTGGGCCAAGTCTGGAAATTGGCTCTAAGTTATCTCATAGCAATCAGATCAGACAATCTGTCTTTGAGCTGTCTGCTGCCACTTGTCACCACTTAAATCCTAATTCATTTTTGTCCATTAGCAAGCCTGTCAACTCACAGGGGCATGGCCAAACAGGATTATTGGTTTTGCTTCACAATGGAGTAGATTAGGGATAGTTGCTTTTATTAATCTCACTACGTCACTACTATTACAGAGTTAATACTGCCAGATGGTCACACAGCTACTGCAAAGTGACACATCAATAAGCACAGGCAGAGCATAAGAGAGCAACAGGCACTTAGAAATGCTTACACCCCTTCAGTCTGCTGGGAATCCCGTTCCTGTCACCTTGCACCAGGCCGCAGTGGATTAGCTCCAGCTGGGGGAATTCTGGGCACCCTCCGAGGTCTAGGTCCCTGATGAAACTCACCAGGCATGGGACTCCCTACACTAGTTATATTACAGTTGTTTACCGGGTGTGTACTACTGGCTAAATGCCATTCTCAAATTTCCCATGGAGTTCAGAACCAAGGTCATGCTATTTATCACTTATTAGTTACCCAGCTCAAGGCATGGGTTAAAGCTGATAAAGCCCAGCTGCTGTTTGCACTTGCAGGGTCCCAGGCTATGCTAAGTTGTATACTGCAGGGATGGAAACTGCCATCCTAGCCTGCTGAGCTGCAGGCCCCACATATGAATTTGTATGTGACAAAACCCAGTATAAATAATTGTTCCCCCAGAGGGGAACCACTGTGCATATCTCTTGCATTGATAAAGAGGGCAAACAACTTATGAGTTTACCCTATATGCAACTTTATACAGCATAAGACAGATTTGTCCAGCTTCTGGTCCCATTGGGATTGTGGACTTGGGTGCTGTGTCAAGTCCCTTTGACTGAGTCTTCCCAGAGTGGAGCTGATGTCAGTGTCTGTGTCACTCTGCTGTATGCTGTGAAACTTCCTCCCCACCCACCCACCGCATGCTCTGTTCCCCCACAGGAGGAGACTGGAGGCTCAGGCTCAGCTGGACAGGGTGATGGGGCAACCCAGAGGGCAGGCAGGCATTCTCGGTGGCATTTCAGTCTCAAGGGAATCTCTGTGACCAAACCTGCCACAGTTATCTCATAGCAATCAGATCAGACAGATATGCAATATATGCTGGTTCAACATGTGAAATGGGTTTCTGTGTTCCCCCACAGGAGGAGACTGGAGGCTCAGGCTCAGCTGGACAGGGTGATGGGGCAACCCAGAGGGCAGGCAGGCATTCTCGGTGGCATTTCAGTCTCAAGGGAATCTCTGTGACCAAACCTGCCACAGTTATCTCATAGCAATCAGATCAGACAGATATGCAATATATGCTGGTTCAACATGTGAAATGGGTTTCTGGATCTGTTGATGAGAAAAAGAGTTTGGAAACCTACCTACATTTTTTCCCAAACAGTTTCATCTCTTCCAGATCATGGCTTTTCTGTTTGCTCTACAAAACTAAGGGTCCCTATGTTAGGCTGGACACTAAGTCATGGTCTACACCTACTGGCACTGTCGATCTATTTCAGCTATGCAAATAGAGTTGCTGAAGTCGACATTTTCACTATGTGTCTTGCAAGTCAGTGGGGGCTGCTCTCTCATCAACCTCAGCTACTCTTCTCTTCTTGGTGGAATACCAGCATTGACGGGAGCATGTTCTGACATCAATTTATCATGCCTAGATGTGATAAATCGGCATCAGTTGCTGCAGTGTCAGTCCCTGGTGTAGTGTAAGCAGTATAAGCTCTACAAAGATAGGCATTAGTTATATACAATAGATTGCTAATGAACTGACCCAAACATGTACCTTGACTACATTCAGGGAGGTCACAGGTATCAGTATGGCGCTGAACAATCTGTGCGTTATGTGGGTTTTTCGTCAAGAGATTGACACATGTATAAGGACACATGTCCACCACTCCCCCCACCTGCACAAGTAGTGCATCACTTCTTCTAGAGTTAATGAGTGGGTCAGCTGAGCATAGTGTTTCGGAACCGCGTGCGCGCGCGCACACACACACGCACGCGCTTTATGAAATGGACTTATGGACACAAATATACATAATTCAAAGAGGTTTGGAATGAATTGCTTCATGTAACCTGTCCATTTTCATGTCATAATCCACTGTATCTGTTTATCTTATTTTGGTGTATATTTTACTCGTGTGTGTAAAATTAGACATGCAGAGAAGGGAATACTGATTTTTAAACATGTAAAAGGAAAGCCATCAAGGGTAATTTCACTACTGGGAGGTCTCAGTGTCTGGGCAATCATATGCAAATGGCCTTCTGTCCTTAAATCTTAGGAGTGGTTGGTAGGGACTGGCCAGATGACTTCCCATCCAAGATGGGGATCTTTAAAAACAATAGGAAAATAGGAGTCTTCTGTCTTTTGGCTGGCTGGTGTGACACATCCTAGGGAGGGAACCAGAGACCCCCAAGAAAAAGGCGATTTCCCTAGTTTTGGAAGGTTTGGCCATGAAATAAACCATTTTAGGGTGAGCTTGTAATACGTTTATACTGAAGTTTTAGTGTAGAAGTTATTTTGAGTTTATCAGCTTTGCTCTGCCTGGTCTCACTTATTACCACTTCAATCCTACTGCTTGTACTTAATAAAAGCACTTATTTGCTATCAAACCCAGCATAAATAATTATTACCTGGGGGAGCAATCGGTGTGTGCATTCTCCCATTCATTGTTAAAGGGGGCTTGCCTAAATAATTCTTTTGGGATTTTGGTCCCATTTGGGGAGTGGTATCCCAGGAAGCTGGGCTCAAAACTGCATTTCTCTTGGCCCTGAAGAGATCTAGCATCTGTTCTGCTTCTTGGGGGGGTGGGGGGGGG